ACAATTCCAGATGTTCAAGCTGGATTTAGAAAAGCAGAGGAACCAGAGGGCATATTGCCAACATCCCTTGGATCATCAAAAAAGCAAGAGAGTTCCAGAAAAACATCTACTTCTGCTTTATGAACTACGTCAAAGCCTTTGACTGTGTGGATCACAATAAAATGTGGGAAATTCTTCAAGAGATGGGAATACAAGACTCCCTGATCTGCCTCCTGAAAAATCCATATGCAGGTCAAGAAGTAACAGTTAGAACTGGACATGGAACAAGAGACTGGTTCCAAATTGGAAAAGGAGTACATCAAGGCTGTATATTGTCACGCTGCTTATTTAATTTATATGCAGAGTACATCATGCAAAATGCTGGGCTGGATGCGCACAAATTGGAATCAACATTGCCAGGAGAAATATCAATAACCTCAGATACGCAGATGACACCACTCTTATGGCAGAAAGCGAAGAACTGAAGAGCCTCTTGATGAAAGTGAAAGAGGAGAGTGAAAAAGTTGGCTTAAAACTCAGCATTCAGAAAACTAAGATCATGGCATCCTGTCCCATCACTTCATGGCAAATAGATGGGGAAACAATGGAAACAGTGAGAGACTTTATTTTCTTGGACTCCAAAATCACTGCAGATGGTGACTGCAGCCATAAAATGAAAAGGTGCTTGCTCCTTGTCAGAAAAGCTATGACCAACCTAGACAGCATATTAAAAAACAGCGACATTACTTTGCCAACAAAGGTCTGTCTAGTCAAAGCTATGGTCTTTCCAGTAGTCATGTATGGATGTGAGAGTTGAACTATAAAGAAAGCTGAGCACTAAAGAATCGATGCTGTTGAACTGTGGTTTTGGAGAAGACTCTTGAGAGTCCCTTGGACTGCAAGGAGATCCAACCAGTCCATCCTAAAGGAAATCAGTCCTGAATATTCATTGGAAGTACTGATGCTGAAGTGAAACTCCAATACTTTGGTCACCTGATGAGAAGAACTGACACACTGGAAAAGATCCTGATACTGGGAAAGATTGAGGGCAAGAGGAGAAGGGGATGACAGAGGATAAGATGGTTGGATGGCATCACTGACTCAATGGACATGAGTTTGAGTAAACTCTGGGAGCTGGAGATGGACCGGGAGGCCTGGCGTGCTGCAGTCCATGGGGTCACAAAGGGTCGGACACGAGAGAGAGACTGAACTGACACAATTCCTGGAAATCTCTGCCCCTTCCCCAAAATAGTTGGAATAATCCTCCCACTCATTAGCCTATGAAATTACCCAGCACTTAAAAGCTAACCACATACATTTCGAGACTGTACTCACCCTCTGCCATGGCCCACACTCTATGGAGTGTGTTTCTTTCTTAATAAATTACTTCTTACCTACCTCTTTGTCTCCCACTGAATTCTTCCTGTCATGAGACACAAAGAACCTGAGCCTCAGAAAGTCCAGACACCTGGTGAGTGATTCTAATTAAAAGATCATGGGTTCAAGTCCCAATCTTCGGTGCTCAGCTTTCTTTATAGTCCAACTCTCACATCCATACATGACTACTGGAAAGACCATAGCTTTGACTAGACAGACCTTTGTTGGCAAAGTAATGTCGCTGTTTTTTAATATGCTGTCTAGGTTGGTCATAGCTTTTCTGACAAGGAGCAAGCACCTTTTCATTTCATGGCTGCAGTCACCATCTGCAGTGATTTTGGAGTCCAAGAAAATAAAGTCTCTCACTGTTTCCATTGTTTCCCCATCTATTTGCCATGAAGTGATGGGACAGGATGCCATGATCTTAGTTTTCTGAATGCTGAGTTTTAAGCCAACTTTTTCACTCTCCTCTTTCACTTTCATCAAGAGGCTCTTCAGTTCTTCTTCGCTTTCTGCCATAAGAGTGGTGTCATCTGCATATCTGAGGTTATTGATATTTCTCCTGGCAATGTTGATTCCAATTTGTGCTTCATCCAGCCCAGCATTTTGCATGATGTACTCTGCATATAAATTAAATAAGCAGCATGACAATATACAGCCTCGATGTACTCCTTTTCCAATTTGGAACCAGTCTCTTGTTCCATGTCCAGTTCTGTTACTTCTTGACTTGCATACAGATTTTTCAGGAGGCAGGTCAGGGGGGTCTGGTATTCCCATCTCTTAAAGAATTCCCCACAATGTGTTGTGACCGACATAGTCAAAGACTGATGTAGTCCATAAAGCAGAAGTAGATGTTTTTCTGGAACTCTCTTGCTTTTTTGATGATCCAAGGGATGTCGGCAATTTGACCTCTGGTTCCTCTGCCTTTTCTAAATCCAGCTTGAACATCTTGAAGTTCATGGTTCACGTACTTGGAGAATTTTGAGCATTACTTTGCGTGTGAGATCCCACACCTAGCACAGCCCATGTCCACCAGGATAAGGCTGGGTTTGGAGACCTGAACACTGGGTTTCCCCTTGGATGGTGGCTGCCACAGCAGGAAGTTGGAGGGAGACTGGGGACCCTGGGTGAGCTGGGAGGAGGGGCTCAGGCTTCTGACTCCTGACACAAACTGTGCAAACTTCCCCGGAGGCCAAGCGGTTAGGGCTCTGTGCTCTCACGGTGGGGAGCTAGGATCCCACAAGGCATGCGGCACAGTCAAGAAATAATTAACATTAAGTAAAACAAAAACTGTATGTGTGTGTTGGGTGGGGGGAAGAGTCTGCTTCCCAGCTCAGTCAGGTTGCTAGAAAAGCCAGCTCAATGAGCTGTAAGACGAAGTCCCTGTTCTCTTGTTGGCTGTCTCCCAGGGCTCTTCTGAGATTCGAGAGTCCACTACCACCACCCACACATTCCTCACCACACAGCCCTCTCCCACTGCCTTCAAAACCTTGGAGTCCTCCTCCTACTTCAAGTATTCTTCTACCTTTAAGAACCCTTATGACAAACTATGACAAACCTAGACAGTGTGTTAAAAAGCAGATAACTCACTTTGCTGACAAAGGTCTGTATAGTCAAAGCTTTAGTTTTTCCAGTATTCATGTATGGATGTGAGATTTTCACCATAAAGAAGGCTGAGTGCCAAAGAATTGATGATTTTGAACGGTGGTGCTGGAGAAGACTCTTGAGAGTCCCTTGGACTGCAAAGAGATCCAACCAGTCAGTCCCAAAGGAAATCAACCCTGAATATTTACTGGAAGGACTGATGCTGAAGCTGAAGCTCCAATACTTTGGCCACCTGATGAGAAGAGCCAACTCATTGGAAAGGACTCCAATACTGGGAAAGATTGAAGGCAGGAGGAAAATGGAATGACAGAGGACAAGATGGTTGGATGACATCACCGACTGGATGGACATGAGTTTGAGCAAGCTCCAGGAGATAGTGAAGGACAGGGAAGCCTGGCGTGGACAGGAAGCCCTACAGTCCATGGGGTCATAAAGAGTCACAACTTAGCCACTGAACAACAACAAAGAACCCTTATGATTCCCTAGAGCCCATCAACAATCCAGGACTATCTCCTTATCTAGTCAGCTGATCAGTAACCTTAATTATACCCGCTATGTACTATGAACTATTAGAATTCTCACTTAATGCCCCCAAATCCTGTGGAATCAGGCCAGTCCAGGGCAGCTTTGGCAGTTCCACTCCTGTTTAGGTTGCAGTGGCAACAGCTGTCAAGACACAGGACATAGGTGAACCCCTGGCCTCACAGGTCGAGGTGGGCACAGCAAGGGGCCTGTGAAGCCAGTGAAGCATGATCAGTGATAAAAACCAGGGATGAGAAGTTGGACGGAAGAGATACAGGGAGTTGGGCAGGCCATTGCTGAAGGACTCAGATTCTTAACAAGGACAATGAGGCCTTGAGACTGGGATTTTAATTAGCTTCCTGGGGGCCTGGGCCACAGAATGCTCCCTTCCCTGTTCGCTCAGTAGGTGCCTAAGGCAGGAGGCAGGGGCTGTGACCTTATCCTCATACTGGAGCTGAGAAGTCGGCCCCTTCCACTCTGGACTCTGAACCTGCTGCACAAAGCATGGGGTCCACTGCGGTCTAGGCATCACCTCCCTCTTCCTTCAGCCCCCATGAATAGAGCCTAAGGCCCGGCCAGTCCACCTCCAGTGGGCCTGGCTCCCCAGGGGCCCTGGACAGCCAGGCCCAACTCAAGGTCCTTGGGAGGTCTAGGCTATTCCTCTGCCGGGAAAGTTCTTCCCACAGATTCTGGGCTCTAAAGAGCCTCTTTGGAGTCTGGCTGCTCACCACCTCCCAGCTAGACGCAAGACCCATCTCACCGCCTCTACCACCTTTATTTTCTGAGCGTTGGCGCGGAGTGTGGCCTGCTGAAAGCACTCTGAACATTCCCTCCTCACACCCCTCCCTGGGGCAGGTGCGCCTGCTGTAGAGGCATCTAGTCCGGGTGCCTCATCTTCTCCCTGGGCCAGGGCAAGGTGGTGCCCGTCTGTTCCCACATTCCACTCGCAGCCGCTAGACCCACATAGGTGGAGGCCTGGGGTGTCCTCATCTGTATGAGGAGTTTTGACCCGCCGGGACCCGCCCCGGGCTTGGGAGTCCACCGCCCTCCCACCCTCACCCCGCCTCACCCCGCCTCACCTTCTCCCGCCCAGCAGCGCATGCGAGGAGCGTGGCCTACAGATTGACAGCGCAGGTCCCGCCCCCGCCCCTTCGCTAGGGCGAAGCTGCGTGATTGCCCCGGTCCCCTGCGACTTTGGCCGGAAGTGCGACCTGGCGGCGGAGACTCGTCTCCATGGAAACGCCGGAAACGTGCTCTGACCGAATGGTTCGCCGCGTCGCGGCAGCTGCGGACTTCGGTTCCGCCGGCGTCGCGGCCCGGAAGTGCGGCCTCGGAGGTGGTGAGCTGGAGGCGGCCACCGCCCGGCCTGGTGCCTGAGGAGGAGCCGGAGGTGGGGTCAGGCGAGCATCCCCCTGCAGCAGGGCCCGTGGGGAGGCCGGGGCGTGTCAGGGGAGGGGCCCCCGCGCTGGGCTCGGCGCGCTAGCCGCAGACGTGAGGGGGCGCTGCAGGACGGGGGCATGTCGCGGGCCGGGGCGCGGAGGCGGGAACCCGGCTCGGCCCGGGCCGGGGCGGGCGCAGCCGGAGCCGATCGGAGAACGGGGTGCTGGAGTCGAGGGGGCGCGAGGCATGGCGCAGGGAACTCGAGAGGGTGCTCGGAGCAGAGGGCACGGCGTGGGTCAAGGGGCGGCAGCGAGGATGCCTGGGAGCCGCGGCTCAAGGTGGGCCTTTGTTCCGAGTCGCCCGAGGCTCCGCTGCACCTGCAGAGACCGGAGCCTGCCGGGGCGCGGGACGGAAAAGGAAGGGCCAGTCCCCACGGACTGGGGCGCGGGCTTGTGCCCGCGTCGCCCGGGCACAGGCTGAAAGTCCTTTAGGTGCGGGCGTATAAAGCCTGTGCAGGGTGCTTGCGGCAGAGGTAACGGCACGTGAAGACTTGGCCTGAGTAAGGAATTGTCATGGAGACCCCAGAGCTAAGGAGGGTCCCGATCTGTTCTTAATAGATCTCAACAGGCTCCCTCTGGCTGTCGGGTTGGGAATAGACCGGGAAGTGGGGGGGCCTGGTGGAGGCATGCAAAGTGGTCCAAGGGGTCAGATACAGAGCATGAACGGCCCACAGCAAAGGAAAGTCTATTTGGACGTAAGGAGCCAGAGGGGGTGAGTCTGAGACCCCAGCAGGCTCAGACGATTTCGAGGCCTCACCTGAACCAGCCTGGTGCAGAGTGGGCCCATCTCAGGGTTTCTCATCCGTTTGATAAAGGGGAAACTGAGGCCCAGCAAGCATGCTGCCTGTTTGACAGTGAAGTAGCTGAGCTTCTCAGATTCCCAGAGATCCCTGGGAATCGCTTCCCCTTTTCAGTGCCTGAGGGTGGGCAGTGCTGGGATTTCCAGGCTGTAGTTGGACAAGAAGTGTCCGTATTGCTCAGCCATGCTAAACCTGAGGTCTCTGCTACTCCACATGCACCCAACCAATCACACAGACCTGGGCAGTCCACAGGCCCCTCTCAATGCCACACCCACACCCTGGGTCCCATGGGTACCCCATAGGTCGCATCAAGACTCCAGGAAGCACAGGCTGCAAAGACGTGTCTCCCACTAGACATGCTCCCCTCAGCCAGAGACCATGTATTTTCCTCCCTTCCGGCAGCATCTGCCAGGCTTCCCAGGTGGCGCTAGTGGTAAAGAACCTGCCTGCCAATACAGGAGACAAAAGAGACCCGGGTTTCATCCCTGGACTGGGAAGATCCCCTGGAGGAGGACATGGCAACCCACTCCAGTATTCTTGCCTGGAGAATCTTCCCATGGATAGAGGAGCCCGGTGGGCTGCAGTCCATGGGATTGCAGAGTCAGACACGACTGAAGCCACTTAGTGCGCACTCAGGACACCTGCCAGCCTAATGCCCAACCTCCTCTCAACTCTTTGTGACTATGAGCACCCTTAGACCCACAGGCCATTCATGCCAGCCCCACCCCATTGAAGACCTGCGCATACACTTGATATAACCAGGTTCTGAGGCAGCAGACCTCTGGGTCTGGGTCTGGGTTTGCAAGGGTCTTGGATGCTCCAAGGTTGAGGGCCCTGCCAAGGGGAGATGAAAAAGAAGTCCTTAGTGGTGGGAGTCTTAATTGGCAGGGTGGGGAGGGCTGTTCTATATAGGGGCCCCTGCCCTCTTCTCCACCCTATTGGAGGAGAAGGTCGGGGAGGCCATGGATGGGAGTTAGGGGAAGAGGGGGTCAGTCAGGCAAAATAGGGGAGGCGAGCCCTGGGTCTCCCCACTCTGGCAGTAAGCACGACCGGGAGGGCCGCAAAGCTTTGCTGTCCCCAGCCCTCGCCCAGCGGTGCGCTGGAGGCTGCGGGTCGGGGCAGGGGGCGGCCACATAAGTCCTGGCGGCGGGGAGGGGAGTCCTGCTGGGTCGGGAACCAGGACTTGGAGGGGCCAGGGACACTGGAGAGGGCTGGGGCTCCTGAGGCCTAGGGGTGTGCGGCCCCTCGGCCCGCTGAAGGGATGGCTCACCCCCTCACCGCCCCGTCCGATGTAGATCGAGGGGAGGTCCCCCGCTCACACCTTCCATCCCGCGCAGATGGCGGCGGCGGCGGAGGCGGTGCACCACATCCACCTGCAGAACTTCTCGCGGTCCCTGCTGGAGACCCTCAACGGGCAGCGGCTGGGCGGACACTTCTGTGACGTGACGGTCCGCATCCGAGAGGCCTCGCTGCGCGCCCACCGATGCGTGCTGGCCGCCGGCTCGCCCTTCTTCCAGGACAAGCTTCTGCTTGGCCACTCGGAAATCCGCGTGCCGCCGGTGGTGCCCGCGCAGACGGTGCGCCAGCTCGTCGAGTTCCTCTACAGCGGCTCGCTGGTGGTGGCGCAGGGCGAGGCGCTGCAGGTGCTCACCGCCGCGTCGGTGCTGCGCATCCAGACGGTCATAGACGAGTGCACGCAGATCATCGCCCGCGCCCGCGCGCCCGTGCCGGGCGCCCCCGCGCCCCCGCCCGCGCCCGTGCCGCCGCCTCTGGCGCCCGCGCAGCTGCGCCACCGCCTGCGGCACCTGCTGGCGGCGAGGCCCCCGGGCCCCGCCGGCGCCGCGCACCCGCGCAAGCAGCGCCAGCCGGCGCGCCTGCAGCTGCCCGCGCCCCCCGCGCCCGCCAAGGCGGAGGGCGCAGCCGCCGATCCCGCGCTGACCGCGGCCGCGGACGACGACGACGACGACGAGGAGGCCGACGACGAGACCGACGGCGAGGACGGCGAGGGAGGCGGCCCCGGGGAGGGCCAGGCGCCCCCCGCCTTCCCCGACTGCGCCACGGGCTTCCTGCCCGCCGCGGCGGATGGCACGCGGGAGGAGCCGCCCGTGCCCGCCGGCCTCTCAGATTACAGCGGGCCCGGCAGGGACTTCCTCCGGGGGACCTCGGCCGCCGAGGACGTGTTCCCCGACGGCTACGTCTCCGCTTGGCAAGAGGGCGATCAGGGCGCCCCCGAAGGCTGTCCGGCCGAGACCCCGGCCCCTCCCGACTGCGTCCTGTCGGGGCCCCGCCCACCTGGCGTGAAGACCCCCGGGCCGCCCGTGGCGCTTTTCCCCTTCCACCTGGGAGCCCCCGGGCCGCCGGCGCAACCCCCTCCTGCGGCCTCGGGAGCGGCCCCCGCACCCCCGCCCGCCTTCTACCCAGCGCTGCAACCGGACGCAGCTCCCAGCGCGCCTCTAGGGGAGGCCCCGGCCCCAGCGGCCGCGGCCCCCTCGACCACTCCCGCGCGCGGCCCGGGTGCCGAGCCGCCCGCCTATGAGTGCAGCCACTGCCACAAGACGTTCAGCTCTCGGAAAAACTACACCAAGCACATGTTCATCCACTCGGGTGAGCCGGGGTGGGTCTCTGGGCCCCTCGATTGGCCTTTCGTGAACTGTCCATGACCCAAGGGTCAGCACAGCCTGGTTCCCCTCTCGGATTCGGGTTATGGGGCGGCCTGCTCTGTAACCCCGGGGGTTCTGTACCGGCCAGCAGGAAGGAGCACATATACTTGGGTCTTTCCCAGTGTGAGGCCGCTGGCCCTGAACGGCGGCCAGTGACCAGAGTTCAGAGGGCTCTCTGGGCGCGGCAGGGGTGGAGGAGGGGCAGCCCGGCCCTGGGCCCGGCACCAGGAAGTTTGAGGGGGGAGGTCTCGTCCCTGGAGGTGGGGGTAGGCCTGAGTGGTCAGCCCCACCTGCGGCGTTCCCTGCTAGGAGGCTACCTGTTGGAGTCGTGAGTCACTGACAGGTAGTGACCCTGGTGTCACCATTAGGGTCTGGGAGAGGGGCGTCCCTACCGGGTGGGGGGGATTCCGGGTTAATGACACGTCTGGGTGCGGAGGGGAGTCGCGGTCCGGCACAGCGCCCCGAAGCCCCTTCCCAGCTGACCTGAGCGCGCTTCCTGCCCTGTCGCCCGCAGGGGAGAAGCCCCACCAGTGTGCCGTGTGCTGGAGATCCTTCTCGCTGCGAGACTACCTGCTCAAACACATGGTCACGCACACGGGCGTGCGCGCCTTCCAGTGCGCCGTCTGCGCCAAGCGCTTCACGCAGAAAAGCTCGTTGAACGTGCACATGCGCACCCACCGGCCGGAGCGCGCGCCCTGCCCCGCCTGCGGCAAGGTCTTCTCGCACCGCGCGCTGCTGGAGCGCCACCTGGCCGCGCACCCTGCGCCCTGATGCGGGCCTGGGGCCTGGCCGCGCCCCGCGGGGTTGGCCTCGCCGCTTCGCTGGCGGCCGCGTCCACCGCCGACGTCACACCTGTCTCGGCCTCTTGGCCGCTTTCCCGCCGCCGGCCCTGCTCTTGCCCACCCAGTTCCCCAGCCCCGCCTGCTTCGTTCCTCCCCTCCGGCGTACTCGGCCCTCCAAGTGGCGTCCAGCTGGGAGTGGTCAGGGACTCCACCGCCTCCGAGAACTGGATCATCGCCAGGCTGACCTAGGGCTCGGCTATGGCCACGGACCCAGGATTCACGGCTCCGACTTCAGTTCAAGCAGCGAACCGCGCCCCCCCCCCCCCCGCTCCAGGAAATGGGGTGGGAGCTGCTCCTCTGACCCTGTGCCAGGCTACGAGGTCCCCAGCGCCCCGACCCGAGCCACCCCTCCCTCATCTGGCGCCTAGGGCATCGCCACGGACTGAGGCCCGGCCTTGAGAGCCCTGCTCTGTAATAAAGGACTGTGGGCCGTGGGGTCCAAACCCAGAAGCGCGAGACCCGGCCCATGTGTGCCTCACCGGCTGTGCCCATCGTGTGTGTTGGGGTGCAGCGCGCCTGGGCGGCGCGCGGCAGGATGGGCCGCTTTGCCATCTCGTGCCTCTGTTCTCTGATAGGAGACGTCTGGCTCCCTAGAGCCCTCTCTCCTGTGGAGGCGGGGGAACAGCCCCCTCTGATGAGGATCTGGAAGCCGCAACACCACCCACCCACCCCCGCCCAAGATGCAGATTTCGAGGCCCCTCCCCCGAGATCTTCCGGGCAGATTCTCTGGCCTCCAGGCTTCCCCTCCCGCGTCCTGATGGCCTTGATGGTTGAACTACTCACTTTGGGGGACAGAGGATCTTTGAGGCCAGGCGGGGTTAGGGTTAGGTGGGGACCTGAGCCCCAGAATTACTGTCCTGGCCTGCAGGGTCGCGAGTGCCGGGCTGGGCTGGGGGCGGTACAGACACCAGCGGCCGGCCCCTCGGGCTGCTCATCTGGGTTGCTGAAGATGCCAGCCAGGGTCAGCTCGAGGCTTCTCCTCGCCGGCCTCCTTCACATCTCTGGCGCAAGGCCCGGGCACCGCCTGCAAAGTATCCCGAGCCGGGGGCAGGGGTGTGTGCGTGGGGTGTGGCCTGCCGGCCCACGTCGGAATCCTAGGCTCGTTTCCGCACTCCCCCGCTGAGGCTTTCCCGCCACACCCACATTCCAGGCAAAGTTCAGCCTCCTGAACCCTGAGCCTGGTCCCCACTGATGCCAGGGGTACAGCAGAGTCAGAGCGGGGCACCTGGGTAGGGGGGTCAGGACTGGGTTTGAACTCAGGCGCTGCGACGTTCAGGGCTTACTGAGCACCTGCTGTGTCCCTGGCCCCAACGCAGCTCCCGCGGAGTCAGGGTAGGTCGATGCACAGGGAACCTCCCGGGAGGCCTGCTCCCGCCGGAGCTGCCTTGCTATTGTGCCTCGCTATTAGTTCAGAGGACTGTTTGCCTGTTTCCCAAGAGACTGGCACCCAGTGGCAGGAACGGAGGCAGAGGGGCCGGCGACACGCAGAAGAGCAGGCAGAGCCAAACACTTGGGGTTAGGAAGGCTGGAGGGCAGAGTCCTGGGGCCCACACCGCGGTCAACAGTCCATGAGTCACGGCGCAGGGGCGGGTCTCGGGCGGAGGTGGGCACTCCTGGACATTTCCCGGAATAAGGAGCAGGTGCCATGGGGCTCTGGAGGCGACTGGCCTTCTCCTTGTTGCTGCTGCTGCTGCTGCGGGGCCTGGGACAGTCGCCATGGGTGGCGGCAGCGGCCCCGGCCCTGCGCTGGCTCCTGGGCGACCTTGCCTGCGGCGCGCTTCTGGGCCTGGCCGTGCTGGCAGGGCCCTGGCTGGGTCTCTGGATGCCGCACTGGCTGAGCCTGGCGGCCATGGCCCTACTACTGACCCTGCTGCCCGCACGGCCGCCACCCGGGCTCCGCTGGCTGCCGGCCGACCTGGCCTACACCTTCCGGATGCTCCGCCTGGGCCTCCGCACCTGGGCGCGCTTGCGGCGCCGACCACCGGACACCTTCGTGGATGCCTTTGAGCGGCACGCGCGGGCCCAGCCGGGCCGCACGATCCTAGTGTGCACCGGGCCGGGGGGCCGCGCGGTCACCTTCCGGGAGCTGGACGCCAGGGCCTGCCAGGCGGCCTGGGCCCTGAAGGCCGAGCTGGCCAGCGCCGTGGGCCTGCGCGCCCGGGAGCCCACAGCCCTGCTGGTGCTGCCCTCACAGACGCTCCCCGCCCTGAGCCTGTGGCTGGGGCTGGCCAAGCTGGGCTGCCCGGTGGTTTGGATCAACCCTCACGGCCGCGGGCCGCCACTGGTGCACGCGGTGCTGAGCTCCGGGGCCCGTGTGCTGGTGGTGGACCCAGGTGAGAACCCCTGGACAAGGGGGTCGGAGGGGCTGGGCAGCGGACGGGAGAGGGAGGTGGAGGACTGCTGTCCAGGGGGTCCCAGTGGGGGCTGGCTCTTAGAACAGCCCACAACCCGCTGGCTCTTAGGACCCAAATCCAGTTGCTGGACAGAAATGCTGAGGGTACCAGAGTTGTTTTTTTTTTTTTTTCTTCACCGTGGTTATTTGCGGGCGTTTCGCACCCCAATATCCATTACAGGTAAGGTAGGTGTGCGTCGCGGCCTCAGGGGAGCCTCGGCACGTCTCACCCCTCCCACCGCAGGACGCTCCCCACCCCCACCCCCTGAAGCCTCCTCTGACCCCTCTCCTAGAGCTCCGGGCAAATCTGGAGGAGGTCCTGCCCAAGCTGCAGGCGGAGAAGGTCCACTGCCTCTACCTGGGTCGCAGCTCCCCCACGCCCGGGGTGGGGGCCCTGGGCGCCGCCCTGGCCGCCGCCCCCTCAGACCCCGTGCCCGCCGACTTGCGGGCGGACATCAAGCTTCGAAGCCCAGCCCTGTTCATCTACACCTCGGGAACCACCGGTGAGCGTGCCCCGACGTCCAGGCCCGACCTCTGAACTCTCCTGCTGAACTGACCTTAAGCCTGATTTGTGCCCTCAAACTTGGCTTCTGAAACCCTCCTTGCCCCTGAATTGTGACCCCTGGCCCCGACGTTGACAGCCAGTGTTATTTGAATGGTCCATGCCAGAACCCTGCCTCTGGCCGGTAAACAGCCGCTGAAACCTTGACCTTTGGAATTAACCCGCTGAACGCAGATGAAAACCCACCCACGCTGGCCATCTTTCCAGAGCCTCAAACCCCTGAGCTTGCGAACCTGCCCTACCCAACTCTCCCCTCTTCTCCCCAGGGCTCCCCAAACCCGCCATCCTCACCTACGAGCGGGTGCTGCAGGTAGCAGGGATGCTGACTCTGTGTGGGGTCACAGCCGATGACGTGGTCTACACAGTCCTGCCTTTGTACCACACCATGGGGCTTGTCCTTGGAGTCCTCAGTTGCCTGGACCTTGGTAAGCCTTTCTTTCTTTGAGGTCCCCCCTCAATCCACAGGACTCCCAGCCTGGATGTCAGGGTGACAAGCCCCATAGGTTACTGAGAACCCCAGGTTCCCATCTTTGACAAGGGACCACGAAGCCCAGGGCCACCTGGACAGAAGGCTGGACGCCTGGGGAGTCCTTCGTGGCTGTGGCTGTGCGGGAAGCCAGCAGCCCTGCTGTGGGTGTCGGGCATTCCTGGCAGTCAGTGTCCCAGGTGGAGCCAGTGAGGGAACCAGCAGCAAGCCTTCCGGTTGTCTCCCTAGACACCTGGCCACGAATTCAGTGAACAGACCACCTGATCGGTTTCATTGCCATTGTTGTCGTTTCTGAAATTTTAACATGGAAAATATTGAAATATCAAAATTTCTAAAGTTTTCTACATGAATCCTCAGGTGCTCACCACCCAGCCTCAGCCAGTAGCAGCATTTTGCTCTTCTGTGTTTTGTGTATCACCTCCCCTTTATTCTCACTTTTTACTCTCATTATTTCTTCAAAAATCTTAAAATCATGGGACATTTCAAACATACAGGAAAGCAGAGCAGATAGTTTGATGAAGTCTCTGAAATCCTCACCCAGCCTCAAGAATTGTTAACATGTTGCCAATTTTATTTCATAGGAACTCCCTTCTTTCAGGATTATTTTGAAGCAGATTCTAGATACTATCTTTCTCTGTAAATATTGCAGTATGCATCTCTAACATGTAAGAACTTAAAACACCTGTGACCACTGTGATTATCACACCTGCCTGAAAAATTAACAGTAACTCTTGGAAACTACTGATGCTCACTTCATGTTAAAAATTTCCCAGGAGTTCCCTCTTAGTCCAGTGTCTAAGCCTGTGTGCTCCCACTGCAGGGGCCACAGGTTTGTTCTCTGGTCAGGAAGCTAGAGCCCACATGCTGCAACTAAGACCCAGGGCAGCCAAATAAATGATTAAATATATTTTTAAAAAATTACCCCAATTATCTTACTGTCTTTTTGCAATTCAAGTGTTCTTTTTCTTTTTTTTTTTTTTTTTGTATTTAGATTATTTCCATTTTATAATTCAAGTGTTCTTTGTACTTGTTTGCTTGGTCTCTGTTCCTCTCCCTCCCACATCCCTATCAAAACTAGATAGTCCTTCTAGAGATGTTTTCATTTATTTTTAAAATAGTTTTTATTTCTTTGGCCACACCAGGTCTTAGTTGTGGCATGCAGGACCCAGTTCCCTGACCAAGGATCAAACCGGGGTGCCTGCATCAGGAGCATACAGTCTTAGCCACTAGACCACCAGCGAAGTCCCTGTTTTATTTTTACTTTTTTTTTTTTCTCTTTACAAAAGACTCACTTTTTTGCTTTTTAACTGAAGTATAATTGCTTTACAATATTGTGTTGGTTTCTGCCATACATCAACATGAATCAGCCACAGGTATACATGTGTCCCCTCCCTCCTGAACCTCCCTCCCATCCCACCACCCCATCCCACTCCAGGCTGTCATAGTGTTTTCACTTATTTTAAAACAGTCTTTAGGGACTTCCCTGGT